GTGTGTGTGTGAGAGAGCGCCCTCTATGACGCATTCTGAAAAATCTTTCGTCCACGCCTGTCCAATTAAAAAAAATAATTAAAAATAATTAAAAATAATTAAAAAAAAAATAATTAAAAAAAAATGATGGTAATTTATGCAAATGTATTCACGATGACCTCGACACGACCTCGTATTCACATCAATTTTATGTATGCAAATGTATTCACAATATCCCATTGTGACGTCATCCTCATGAAAAATCTTTCGTCCACGCCTGTCCAATTAAAAAACAATTAAAAATAATTAAAAATAATTAAAAATAATTAAACAAAATAATTAAAAAAATTGATGGTAATTTATGCAAATGTATTAAAATATCCCATTGTGACGTCATCCTCATTCAAATTATCCCCTTTACGGCATTGGTCCTCATTTATGCTAATTTATGCACGAATTCCCATTGTGACGTCATTATTTATGCTAAGCTATGCACAGCCTCCCATTGTGACGTCATCCCACCCCGTATTACGTCATCGCATCCGAGTATGAACAGCGCCCTCATGGTCGTACCTATAATGTAACTTAAACTACTTAAGACACGTGATCATAATTTTAATCATTATTCATACCAACACAATTGGTGCACTTTGTGTCACGTGATTCATTCATATATACTTGTTTTAATCGTTTTGTCATTCAAGTAATTTCAAAAATGATTATCATTATATTTACAATACATATATACCCAAATCCTGTAAGTGTCATAAAATGCTAACTACGAGTATTATGCTATCGATATATTCGTTATAAAGTAATGCCTCAAATCTTTCAAGTCGTGACTGTTTTTACTAGTATTGCACTGAGCCAAAATGGTTGAATTTTGATTGCTTGAAATGCATCTTGTTTAATATCAAAATACTAGAGATACTTAGTCGCATGCGTTCGATTCTTATTAATGTAACCAAGTAAATTTATTGTCTTACGTTGTTGTTATTGTTGTAGGTTTGGCCGGATCCACCAAATATTGATGAAATTATGAGTGAAATTGATTGCCATGGTGACTGGGACTGTGAAGTTGAGGTATCAAGAATCTTTTAGTTTTATGTCGCTTTTCGTCGAATCACTCGAAACCAACTTTTAGCTAAGCTAACATGCCAACTAATTTATTGCTTCACCGATATGCGAGGGTAGACAGAAGTGTCTTATTTATTTATTTATTTATTTATTTACTAATAACTTGTATGTTGCAAAAACAGCGTATTTCTAATAGGTCACTTTCATGAACACCAAAGGTCACACATCCTGGTACTTTCGTTGGGTATTACAGCATCATAAACGTGCACAACTGAGGCATTTTAATGTACCTTTTTTTCTACAAAGAACATTTTATTGATGTAGCTAAAACAAACAGTCAAGTCTTTGAAATAGTGGTGAAATATCAATAAAATACGCCAAACTTGTTAAGAGTGAAAGTTAAGTTAAATGTAAATAATTATATAACGGTTAGAACTCAGTCGCTCGCTCGATATGGAGTGTAATTAGACAACAAATATATAATATATATCACAATCGATTTTGTTTTTATTTATAGCATTACCGTGCACATACTGTGTTTCCTGACTTCATGAAACCAGAAACGCGACAGTGGTGGTATGATATGGTGACCGATTTTCACCACACTATTGCATTTGACGGCCTCTGGATTGTAAGTAAATGATGCATAATACAAAGTATTTTCTTGGACATGACCCTGGACGAGTTGACCCACAACAGACATGTCTTTGCAGATTTCATGAATATTAAAATCCACGACAGAATAAAAACACTATTAAATGTATGGAATTAATTCTCAACCTGTCCATGCATTTATATGTGTGTGCTTTTGCGCTATTGCCAAATACTGTCCCTTAGAAAGCTATAGTTATGTGACGTGGATTTCGAGTCACCAATGGCATGTGTGCACGTATGTATACGTTTAAATCATCGAATATTTTGTATTCTGCTTCACACCAGAATTATATGTAATAGTTTGATACTCATTGTAGGACATGAACGAAGCAGCCAATTTTGTCACCGGATCGACACGAGGTTGTGATTATGAAGATCCATTAGAATCTCCGCCGTATTTACCTAGTAAGTCCTGTATGTTGTCTTCTTCTACCCACCGCCATTTCATTTACAATAGAGGCCGTTCTACTTAGCTTTCTGTTGCTGAATTATCAAATGACATTGGTATCGAACGCATAGCGGAGAACGTTGCATGTCATTTTGACAACGGTCAACTGACAAATTCACACCTTCAGGTTTATGTTACAGTATTTTTCAACGAACTTAACTTTATGTATGTTTTACTCTTAACAGAAATATTCGGGCCCGTTCTTGCCGATAAGACCATATGTATGGCTAGTTTATCACATAACACAGATACTACGAAAACATACCAATATAATATGCACAGTTTATTCGGATGGAGCCAAAACGCCCCAACTCTTACGTAAGTATACCTTGTAAAGTAGTGGATCATAAAACAGCATCCCAAATAAAACGCATTCTGTCGGTGCTTAGATTTCTGTCTCGTGAATGAGTAATATTATAAATAATTACTGACGCGGATGCAGAATGTTCGGCTGGTGGCGTACTTTTGCAATGGCGTTATGGTTGCATTGCATTGTGGGATATTTCTGTTTGTGTAACGGCGTTGCGCTCTCACTAAATCCGCCATTTAATTGTATCTAGAAAACGGATTGCTGGACATAATCTATCGGCAACAATGTCTTCTCTTTATATAAGGTTCAAAATATTAAAAATGTTGTAAAAACAGTGACGAATGACACTGTCGATTTATTTTCATCACTGATGACCTGCAGTAACAGCGAGTGAGTTTAATGATACAATAATTACCCAGGGTAATCACATTCCGTTGCCTTCTCTTTCAGGGCTGCAAGACAATCCACGGGTAAACGTTCTATAGTGGTGTCACGTTCAACGTTTCCAGGCAGTGGTACAAACTCGGGTCATTGGTTGGGAGATAATACTAGTATATGGCCTCATATGCACAAATCGATAATAGGCAAGTATTGTACATTTCTGTAGATTTCATAATCAAAGAATGATTCAGGAATTCTTCGTCGTTGTGGGGATAATATTGCACAAATCCAAATATGTCGTTACATCAATTTGCCCACTTATTGAATTATGTTGTTTCAGTCATACGTGTGTTTATAGTATTCCGTTCAAGGATTGTAAACTTTCATCTTCGGATTAATATACATTGTAAATCACGTGATAATGTCATATCATAGTTATGGTCGGACAATCGTAACATATACCTGAACAAATATTAAAGCGGGGGA